ATCTCATTTTTCAGACGTGTGTTGCATTCACAAATGTGCATATTCGTTTTATGCCATTGAGATGATGATCGACACGACTACTACAGATATGTCAACGGTCTCTTTTCCTCATCGGAAAAAAGAAAAATCCGGCGTATTGGTTCAGTGAACAAGTCGCGTGAAAAACGCAAACATCGCTTAAGCAGCCTTTTTCCGACTGGGGATGGTACACAGTTTGGCTCTGATGTTGAGTTTTTCGATAGTGCAGACGAAAGCGGTATTTTTGATTAGATGATTGACACTAAATTCATCATTTACGTTGTCACTCGTATACTGCGTACTCTTAAACAAAATCACCATATCCAAACCAAGTTAAATTGTACCTTGGTTGATCACACTGTCATCTCGGAAATGCTTCACCTCACACCCAAACCATAACTATTTTGCACTTCCACTGAGTGTCTTTCGAAAGTAGATCGATATCAAGGAGTAACTCAATCATTCGTCGAGTAGTCTAATGTGAGTGGTGTCTGGTTCTGAACTTGCCTTGTAGATTCAATGGCTGCTGACTTCAATGGGGGTGAGTTCCTTATGGGTAAGCCACGCAACATGATAACATTTCAAACACGATGGCAACCACGACAGCAACATCTATGCTACAAGGCATGGCCCTTGTCATTACGTTTTTCTCCAAAGACATGAGGAAATACGGCGGGTGAACCTGCAGATGCGGTGCCAAACGCAAGCAAAGCGACATAGGATACAGCAATATGGCATCCCACATTGTACGCGAGGATCCTAAGTACGCCGCGCTGACCTCCTCTGGCCAAAGGTCCATTTTGGATACCTTTGAGCCAAGGATTGCTCGTAATCTGCATGGATGGGTCACAAGGACCTGCCAGTCGTTGCTGTCACAATTTGAGAAGACCAGTCAACACGGCAATTCATGGTTCTAATCAGCGCAAAGGCATTGCTATGGTACATGCACTTGCTGGGTACCACTTTTGAGTCCAACGCGTCAGCCCAACTGCCTCTCCACTTTGCCTCTGCATTTGATGGATGGTCAACAGGTTCAACCCACTATGTTGAAGTGTTTGCAAGCTTTCCTTCGGACTATTCAATTGGCTACAAAATTGTCCTACTCTCATTTACACCAATGAACGATGAGGCAAGGTTCGGGGCCGACGACCATTTACAGTACGTCACACATCTTTCGGATCATCTTGGAAAGAGTTGAAAAAACCTGGAGGCATTGGTGGGAAATACCTGCAGTACAAACATTGCCTTTTCGTCGCGCTGTGGTGTCCCCCTCATTGGTTGCGTTCGAAACTGCTTCAATTTGGCTGTGCAAGATCTCTTTAGGCAATACGAGAGAAACTTCCTTTGGTCCACAAAAGTATGCTAAAATTGAAGGACTTGGTGTCTGCTGGTAACCTCAGGAAGTTTACACCGCAGTTATCCATTACATGCAACAAAACACGTGGTTTGCACTCTGCACATGTTGCCGCGCTATTGTGAATTCGACAAACTTTTGTACCAAATAACGATCAATGCTTTTTGAATTTATTGCTCAGCCCTCGACATCAGAAACCGACTCCGAGGTGGAGGAACTTCAAGATCTCAGCTCAGTGACAAGTACCTTGCAGTTCGACGATTTGTCCCTTGCTGGTGTGCGAGTTCTCTTTGACACGTTGTTGAAAGACCACGCTGCAATGATCAATCGTCTCGATGCTGATGCAAAAACCGTTCGCCACCAGTCGTTTGAGTCGGGGGTTGTCAAAATCCTCAACGAAGAGGAGGCAACGTTGACCCAATAACTACTGAATTTAGGAAAGAAGTTAGAGTGTGCTGTCCCACTCCGTATTGGCACGGCTGTTAATTCCTCACCAACCGGGAAGCTCTCGTTTGCAAAACTGTCCAGGAAATTGATGCTTTGGTCAAGGTGACGGGGGATCTCCTCTTGCCCTTGGCTGTAATTGCAGGGGTATAGAGAGCAATCCAGATAATCTATTCTTCGAGTCCACCTGAAAGGATACCTATCTGCTTTGTTGTCCCAGAAAAATTATTTTTTAAGGTTTTTAATTATAATAAGAAGAAGATACCATTTCCAGGGTGTAAAATTTTGATTGTCAAAAGTCCCTGTCGGTAAAGTCTTGCCAAAGAATGTATATAGCATGCACGGCTGGCGCAGTGTCAAAGGGGAGTGCATTAATAGTTACGACTACCAATACTAATGTTGCCTGAAAGGCTCATCCCATTTCCAAGCTGCCAAAGCTATATGCTGTGGAACGTTGGATCACTGTGGTTTGCTGTTTGTCAGTAAAGAGGGCGACATTTGCCGCAGGTGGTGGCAGGAGGAAACGACGCGCACGAGTGTGGGGTGTTTAGGCGGTGAGGGGCGACGGTTGGAGTTGGAGGCAGTGGGGGTACTGTGTCCAGAGCGCACTGTAGCCGGACTGGCGGCGCAACCTGTGCGGGGACTGGATCACTGTGAGGCGCGTCACGCAGTGGGGGGCTGGAGCCGTAGCCACCGGCGCACGGACGTCATCCACCCGAGGAACATGAGCTGCCGCCACGCGCCGGGTGGGATTGGAGGTCGGGGCTTCATACTTCACCAAGTTGCGCTGAGCCCAGACGAGGTGGAGCGTAGCAGCAGTCAACAGGGTCCACAAAACGTGCAACGCTTCCTTTTGTGGGACGCACCGAGAACTGACCGCAAAGTGATCCATGTCGGAAATTGATGCCCTCGAGAAGTTGACCCCAAAACAGCGCCAGGCTGTGCCATGAAAGGTCCAAATTGGGTGGACTGCACTGCACGCGCGAAAGGCGTGGGACTGCATCTCAACGGAACCACATCCGTACGTGCAATATATGGCGTCGGGTTGGGTAGTCTGCAAGTAGGAGAAACGGCTGTTGGCAGGCAGCATGTAGAACAGCAGCCGAAGCCAGACATCACCTTGGATTGGTGGTGGCAGGCGACAGGTCCGTCGGACACGTTGGACGTAACTGCACAGGGTAGCTGGGTCGTCCCGGGCTGGAGTACCCATGGGATGGCGTACCACGCGCCCGCGGAAGTGGTACGCCAAGGCCACCACAAATGACCGGGGCCATAGTTCAAAAGGTTGCATAGCATCCTTGACGAGTGCCCGAAATGGATGCAGGGGCGCCGGAGGTGGTGGCGCGTCGGGTGGGGTGCTGCGGAAGGAGTGTACGAGATTGTCGTAGATACGCTTGAGGTGGTTGTATATCATCCCCCAACAGTGGACGGTCGCCCATCTCATGGTGCCATTGGGTGCCAGTTCGACAGGGGCGTGTGGGTTCCCATTCGACATGCGGGTAAAGAAGTCAGACCTCGATGGCCATTTTCGGTCCTCGGTTAGCATGGAGTCGAGGCAGTGTAGCCCGTTACTGACCCCGTATAGACACCAACAACGAGTTGCAGGTGAGTTCACAAGGTTGGCAGCACACTTTCCATCCGCCGAAAGTGTGGGGGCGAACGTGGTCAGCCACATTGGTAGGTGCAGCGACACTGCCAGCGTGAGTGGGAGTTGGATGCGTTGAGTCATCGGAGTTGCTGCCCACTGCGACCACACGTCCACCCACAACGGGTGCAGCTCCCAGAGCATCAGCCACTTGGACCGGTGGTGGGGGTGGTAGAGTAGAAAGTCGAGCGGATGGGCTGTACGGTATAGCTTCCCCATGGTCCGGGCAAACTGGCGCAATACCAGCGGCTGCCATGGCACGGAGTGGCTGGTCGAACCCTTTACGAGGCGTTGAAGCAGCAACAGACGTTGTACCCGTAATCTCGTAGCGACATGGGGCAAACCAAGTCCCAGACGATGTTCGTACTGCCATGTTTGTGGAAGGAGAGGGCGGTAGCGGTCGGTGGGCAGTACCTTGCGACCGAAGATGTACCGATTTAGCATCGACTGCCAGGATTGCACCATAGCGATAGGGACCGGGGTCACGGCGGTAACATGCCACAACAGAGATAGCATGACCGTGTGGACGAGGAGGCGACGACCTTGGGTGGTTCGTGCTCGGAAGCACGCCAGAAAACGGTCGTTGACCATGGTAATTTGGTGGTCGTGTGACAGTCGGTGGCCCAGGTAGATGCCCTGGTATTTGACTGGAACTTGGGTCGCCAGAACATTGAGGAGACCCCCGTCGTCGATGTCCCCAGGATCGAGGTGCCCATTCAGGACAAGCGTCATGCACTTGGCTTGGTTGAGGCGGGCACCAGACACAGCACAAAACTCCTCCACAATGGCCATTTGTGCGACCGCCGATGAAAGGTCCCGAGAGAGAAGGGTGGAGTCGTCTGCGAAGAAGATGCTCGTAGTGACATCGCCGTTGGGGAGGGGGATGCCAAGATGTGGCTGTTGCCGAAGTAGGTCTCCCAGTGGCTCAATGTAGAGCACAAACAGCAGGCAGGACAGCGGACGGCCCTGCTTCACACCGCGTGTGGGCTGGATGTCGGGTCCAAGGGAGCCATTGAAGATCAGCTGTGCCACAGGAGAGGCATGGAGGAGCCGAACCCACCGCAGAAAGGACGGACCGACGTTCATCTCGTTCAGGACACCGTGCACGGCTGGCGCAATGGATAGCGTATCAGACTTCGAATCTGGGGGTTGCGGGTTCGAGTCCCGCGTCGTGTAATAGTTTTAATCCTTTTAGCTCCGTTGAATCGAATTTCGTAGCACCCCAGACGAGTTTCTTTGCCATTGTTTTCGGATTGTAAAATTCGATGAATACATCGTGTGCTACGAATGAGGCTGTTGGTATTCACGTCAATGATTTTGAATATGCAACTACCTACAGCATGTCACACGTATTCGACGTATGGTAATTGGGAAGTTGGTCGTGAGTGAGTCAAGTCACAAGTGTGTCTTCACCTGAGCTACTATGACGAGTTTGATATTATAGTAGTGCTGACGTACAAATGATAACGTTTTGTCCCTTGGTGCATCTTTGAATACCGTACACAATACCATTGAAAACACCCCCCTTGTCATGTACGATGCTACTGTGGGTAATTCTTATCCCGAAATCGGTGAGAAAGGTTTAATACTTGCACTCAAAATCTCCTTCGGCGTTGTGAACTTCATACTTTCGTCAGTCTGTGGATGAGTCGTACATCGTCATAACATGCTTGAGGAGCCAAGTATGTTTGATTCCACCCGGTTGTGCCATGGCTTTTGGAATTCAAGCAACAAATGTCATAATGTATCGACTTACTGTTAATAGCGATTCTAAATTTGACCAATATTCTTGCTGCACCAATTGATATCAAAGGGAACAGCAATGCAGTATCGCTTAACATGACTCATAGAATGTGGATGGTGTGTACTCGCAACACCAGTTGACAATTTTCACTATTCTGTAACATCTTCTGACATCGACACAAGCACGGCTGGCGCAATGGATAGCGTATCAGACTTCGAATCTGGGGGTTGCGGGTTCGAGTCCCGCGTCGTGTAATGTATTTTTCGAAATACTAAGTAGTTTGGCCCGAAATAGCTGCTGCCTTCAATTTGACTTGATTAAATTATGGGATTCGATCCAGAAACAACTTAATATTTATATGTCACTGCAGAAACGAATAATTTAGGCCAAAAGTATAATGTATTTTTATTCAATTGCCCAAAACTCCTAGTTCTTTGGTATTCTAAAGTGCTTCCATATATGCCTCTTCTCCATGTCGAAAGTTCTAACGCATTAAGGCATACTCGTAGTTATAGTCATCGCACTCCACATTGAAGGCCGTGAAGTCCATTATCATGGCATCCTTCTTCGGCTTATAGTCAATGACACCGTTTATTTTGATGCACTCTCCATCATCCTTTAAAGAGAGAAGAATGTTTTTAACACCGTGTCCACAGGCAATTCATAAAACGAGGTTTCCACCAACTATGCCCTCGGCTTGTGGAGTGCACTTCTGATACTGTGACTTGAACAGAGTCAACGAATCCTAAGTCTAAACTCGCATGAGGTTGAGCTCTCAGTGTCTGCCGGGACGCCTGAGGCATTTGTCGAATCGCATTTTCAATTTCTTGCTTCTAAATACGTTCAGAAGTACCTAAAATAGTACACACTTATCTTTTATTAGAACCATTTTCATCGATGTCAATATATATATATAAATGTAGATGTATATCTCGGATTTGCGATGTGACATCAGTAAAAATGTGGCTCGATCGGGACGAACGTTGTCCGTGCTCCAAAAGCCGAGGGCATAGTTGGTGGAAACCTCGTTTTATGAATTGCCTGTGGACACGGTGTTAAAAACATTCTTCTCTCTTTAAAGGATGATGGAGAG